ACGATTTGCGATAATTGAATAGTTCGACTTTCAAATGAATCGTCGTGATTATGCAGCTGCAGTTTGGGAGTGGAATATTTATGTGTATGCCTTTTTAATGTATGTCAAACGATTTTTTTTTCTTGGAATGATTTTCTTTGATTTTGGGAGCGGTCACTGGAGCGCACACTGCACATAATTATTATGATACTCATAAATGTATCTCATCGACACGAAATTTATGTATGTTGCACATTTTTCCACCAGAATTTCGATTATATTCTTTGAATCAGAACATATAAATTGAATCGACATTAAAAATGCATTTTATTTCAACGATGGTGCCATAATCAATCATACATTTAAATTTAAAAAAAATTCACACTGGTGGCCTGATTTTCATGATGATCGGCTGTATCGAAGGTTGTGTCGAAACATTTAATTTCGATGATTTTCCAGAATTGGTATCTGTGTTTCTGCACTTCGCCAATATCGCTTGAAAAATCATGATTATGATTATGCAATATGTAAATTTGTGCATATCGTGCATCATTATTGTGGAGTGTAGAGCGCATTATTCCGTTAGAAAATTGCATGTTTGGTTGATGGGTTCTTTTTTCACCACACATACTAAAATGAAAATTGGCGATCTCTTCAAAATTTATCGTTTCAGCGTATAGTCGTTCAGATTTGTGTTGCTGTTGTTGTTGGCCCCCTGCACATTTATATTAGCTACAAAACTGTTATTTGCATTCCATTTTTTTTCTCTTCATCTTTTATTCGTTTTATGAATTATCGTTTCTGTGCGCATGTTGCCCGAAAGTAATATGAGTACTTGCGTAATTTCCAAATAGCATTTTCAATATTAGCGATGAGGTGAGTTCACATGCGCACAATCAACAACAACTGCAGTGTGTGTGTTTTTTTCTACGAGAGTGATGTGAATTTTTGCATCTTGGCCCAGATTAGTGTATACCTGTCTCTTCAACCGAGATTCAATTCTTACATTATACTCACGAACACGATCAATATAATAAAATAATTGATCATACACGACTTTTTTTTGCCATCCAATGAAATCACCACCGGTACGGATTTCGTAAACGTCAATCGCTTCCTCGCCGCCAGAGAAAATTCTCGCACACAGGGCACAAAATGGTTGCACGTTCAATTCGATCATAGATTCTGGTGTCTTATGACGACTCAATTAAATTGATTCGTGCAGTAAAAAAGCAATAGAAGTTGTTCTGCAGGCATATTGTCCTACGTCAGTGTCGAGATGTCAATATTGGGACACTTGGTGTCGCTTATTTTAAAGTGATATTTACTAATTGTGTGCACATACACACTTTTTGGCATAATTTTTTTTATATCGCCAATGGGCACCAACATTTTCAAATGTTGATGGTAATATGCACATGATGCAATCTCGACCATCTCTTATTCGCGATTTGGAAAAGGTGATAATCGATGTGTTGTTGTTTGGTTTCCATTTTCTTATTGTACAGCTGAAAGTGGCCAGTTTTCTCTTTCTCTCTCTCTTTCGATGCATTCGCTGCGGATCATATCAAAAGAGGCTTTTCAATATTGTAGTTTAACGTCATGCACCATACAAATTCAGCCTCCGGATATAAACAACAACCTATTTGAAATGATACAATGTTTTCCCGATCAATTCAATGGGAATTTTGCTTTCTATTTCTGCATTCTCAATAGGTTACTCTTTCTCTCTCTCTCTTAATTTTTTTCATGTCACATTTACTCAATTTGTTTCTTTTTTGCATTCACTTAACATTACAAAATCGAATTCACGAGAGAAAAAAAACACGATCAAAGTTCATCGATCAATTTCAATATTTCTTTTCAATAAGTTCCATTTCAACATCATTCATATCTGGCCATATATCGTCGCCAGGAACCAAAATTTGAAATGAACAACGAACGGCTTAATTGATTTATCAACGCCCTCACAGCAACCCAGCTTATACTCATTAGAAATGTAGTTGATCTGTAAATGGCATATAGTTTAACTGAGATAAAAAAAAATGAGATACAGTTAACAGTCCTTTACACCATTAATCTCAAATGACATTTCCTATGAAGTAATTGATGACTCGCACATTTTGACGGACCATAAAAATAAGTTTGGATGTCGATGTCGAATGATGATGTAAGAGATTCGTGCACGATGCACATTTCAAATTTAAAAAAAAAAGTTGTCTTTTTTAAGGCGGGTAATTAAAATTGTCTTTGATTTTTTATTTTGAAAAATGAAATCTAACACGGAAAGAAAGAGGAGGTTTCAAGGTTTTTATTTACATAAAAATTTTGCTTTAAGACCAAATTACCCCTCTACATTTTTGGACATTTTTAGAATGAACCCCCCTGGATGGTCCATAATGTCAAACATTGAAAAAAATTCCTTGATTTTCATGGCTCATCATTGCACAATTCTCCAACTTTAGCATTGCATCTTCCGGAGCCACGGTCATTAAATGCTAGAATTGTTTATTGAGATCCGACCATTAAACAAGCATCTCTTACAAACCAAAGCGAAAAAAAAATATGATTAATTGAAAAGCCTCTTAAGAATATTGTGAAACAGCGATAATTGTAAAATATGTTTGAGAGCACGAACCGATTCAATTAAAATGGGCGATAAAATTGCCATAAAACATATTCATCATGTAAACGATTTGGAATGCCAATGTCTTTTGATTTTTTTTTTTTTTTTCAAATGTATTTTCACTTCAAAGATAAATACGATTTTTACAAATGAACCCAGGCCAGAGCCAATAAAATAATACACCATAAGTTGGTTTTTATAGCGTTGCATGTGAATCGGTTATGATTCACATGTAAACAATACTGGTATATGCAAACCGCGGTTCGTTCGATATTGGAAAAATCGGAAAGCAACTGTGAAAAAACAGCTGTTCTCAATCGATTATAATTGAAAATGAAAAGCAAATCGAATTTTTAACACTTGTTTTTAATCTTTCTCTATCACGCACACGCAAAGTGTGACTCTTTCTCTGCGCCAAAAATGATCAAGATAAAATGTTTACAATCGATTTCATAATTGTGCCGAAAAAAAAGAGAGCCAGAGTCGCAGCTGAGAACTTCCATTCAAGTATGTGGCTGCGGGGCTTGTTAAATGCTTATCACAAACACATCGCCGTCTAATTACCAAAACTATGAAAACAGGCAATATGTCGCATTTTCTATGCAAATTTGTTTCGGCTTCAGTATTTTGATATATGATTGCGACATAGTATTCGCACAACCCGTTTAGAGATATATACATATTTGAAATATGCGATTTATCATATTACAGCAACGTTTGAGCATTAAAATGGCCGTGATTTAAGTGGTGGAACAAACCAACCGAAAATATGAATATCATAATTTACCAGGCCAACGAATGAAGGAGAAGAAACGAGAAAAAAATTGCGCGTTTGGTGCTAATATATGAAATAAGTGGATTATCGACTACAAACACTTGGTCTTTCTTTACAACTTTGCTCTCTTTTTTTTGTTCTCTGCATTTGTGCACAATAATTCTTTTGTTCGCTCTTTGCAACCGCCAGAGACTAGTGAATTATGGGTGTATTTTTTCGCTGCATAGCAATTATAGACTGTTTTGTTTGACTTCAATCCCTGTGCGAACACACTCGTGTTTCAGTTGAATTTGTTCTTTTCTTTTGCTATCCAATTTCAATTCTGCATATTGCATGCGCATTTTTTCTGCAAAGTAGCATTATTGCTTTCCTCGATATCGAATCGTACATAAATTCTGGGTATTTAATAATAAAACACACACACATACATGACTTTGACAGGTATTTATATTTGAAGTGCGATAATATTTAATGGTTTTATCGTAATGAATTATGACACACATATCGTGTTGACACACGTTTTTTTTTAGCTCTTTTCTAGATTTGATTGTTTCGTTACATTTCGAATGTACGTAATGTGTTAAACGGGAGCCAAAATGGCACGTTCTAAAGAATCTCTTAATGATTTGCCTTCTTTTCGCTCAAACAATAATAATAATCGTTGCCAATCGGTGAGTGGAAAAAATGACATACACACACCCAAGATCAATGAGCTTCAAGTGTGAAATAAAGTAACGGTTCATTCATTTTCTTTTGTTTTTATTAAATTAAATTTCTTGATTTGAATGTGAAAAAAAAGTGTTCATGTCGTAATATCCGTCGATGATAACGGAACGAGTATACATCGTTGTGCCCACTCTTTGTGAGTGAGAGAGTTTGTTCACTTTAACAACAACATCAACGACGACAAAACAAAAATGGTCAACGAATTTTACGACTTGTATGCCCTCGACTAATGTAAAGTTCTTTAAATCGTAACACGTACACAATCACCAATTATTTCGGTGCCAATTGAAGCATATACACTCTTTGCATTGTTCTGGTCAATGAACAAACGATCATTTTCGATTAGAGGCAACTCTTTTTTTGTAATAACCCATACACACGTATGAAGCGGTTATAAGCATCGCGTCTTTCTCCATTGGGTGCGTATAATGCGGGATTTTTTTTATTATTCCATCGCCGGCGATTGGCATTGTTCTCATTTAAAATATATGTCTCTATTAACGTTTATTGGACGCATCGATTTATTTTGTCAAGTGAGAAAAGAAAGACCAACGGAAATCCACGCCTATGTGTCACGTCCAAATACATGTCGATATAAAATTGAGTTTGGTCTGTTAAAGTGGAGCTGCGACTGGGTATAGAGAAAGATTCATAGCAAATGTCACATAGAACAGTGAACGATATAATTTGGGAAAGACGTTATTTCATGATTTTGGTATTTTTGTCAGGACAAGAATTTTTTGACTTGGAACAGAACTCTTCGATGCAGTCTGAAACGACATTTTTCGATGTAAAAAAATGCTCAATTTCAAAACGATCAAGATCGAATGGCATATGCTCTAACACATGACTCACTTATTTCGACATAAAAAAATATGGCCTTTAAATACTTACACCAAAAGTGTGCTAAAGATATCCGTCTTTTTGATGAAGCTGCTATTTTAATACTGTGTCAATCGTCACCAAATGAAAAATCCACACGTTAATTGCGTTGAAATTAATCCCAAAATTAATCTAAATATATAACAAAGAATGGCATTGATACAGTAATTAATCGATCGAAACCATCTCATAATTATGATTCGCATATGATTTTAGTATTCACAAAAAAGACACTTTATTTAGCTTGTTTTTTTCATCTTATTTTATTTTCAAGTTCTTTTGTCTGTTGTTTGTTGTCAGTTTTATTTTATTACATTTTTCACGATCATTAAAAATCACTGTTTATTTGCATTTTTAATGCGGTGTAAATTGTGTGTTTTGCTGTGTTTTTTTAGTATAGAAATGTTGTTTATTGCAGGTAGCAAAAGGCTTTAAATTTCATCAATCGATCATCATTTACGTAGGGTTATTTTTTATTACTGTTTTGAATAAGCGTTAGATTGCTTAGGTCATTCAACAACGTTGATGTAATCTAGAATTCGTCTCAATGAGTGTATGGGAGAAGTGCAAATAATACTTCAATGAAAAATCCATATATAAATATTTTTTCTAACGTTAGATTGGTGTGTCGCTCTATCTTTTTTCATCATACTTAATTAAAAAAATTATCATTTTTTTGCATATGGTACCATTTTCATTGAATCGCGGCTGGCGAGTAAGCAGGCGCAAAACTGAATGCAAAATTGAATGTTTCCTTGAACAAATCTACCCACTTTTTTCGCTTGATTCATAATTTTTCGTTTCTTCTGTTGTTGTTCGCTTCTTTGATCCGAACTATGTTTGTTTCTCTCTCTCTTTTTTTTTTTTCGGGGAGAGAAAACACAGAATATGATTTTTATGTGTGTCTGATGTCGTTTGAGTGTTGATTTTTTTTCTTCTTGTATTGCGCACACATTTCGCCTTCTCACCATATTAGCCAGTGGGTAGATTTTGTATGCTTAAACAGTTTTTTTTAACTCTGTGTCTCTGTTCATTTTTCAATGAGTTTGAGGCAAGTTCATAAAAATGATCAACTCAGCGGCATTACTATTAGTTAGTATGGCCAATAAATGGCCGATTAAAATGAATGACGAGCGCCGATTTCTGAAAACGATACATCTCACGTGTGATTGTGTGTGATACATTGGAGATGGCCATTTAACAAGCAATGTTACGATAGAGTGAACATGACATAACACAGTTGTCTTATCGCTGTTTAGCATCAAATGAGCACCGAGAGTGATTGAGAACAAACGTATAAGTGTGTTTGCGCGTGCGTTCCCAGCTCAACCTGCACTCAATGCATATATATTTAAAATTCAACACGTTTTTTTACGTCAATATTATTATTATTCACCGAAAAAATCGAATGATATTCCAATGTCATTCCATCAAAAGAGAAAAAAAAAGAGACACAAATTGCGCTGGCCCGAAACACGCACAGTAGGTTTTTTTGTGTATTTAAGGTTGCACGAGATCGCCCACGCGTGTGGTTAACATGTTCAAAGTCGAAACGATTGAATTTCGATGAAGAAAAAAAGAAACATATCGAAATTGAATCAAAATTACGTCAAATTCGACAATCCAGTGCGGTCATCATTGTCAAGATTCAAGACCACCAAACACAAGTAATCACCATCCGGATATGGAGAGAAGAGATTCAGAAGTTTCGTAATTCGAAATCAAGATATCGAAAACTTGAAATTCACTTTTGCTGTACTGAAAGAATTGGGATGGTTGGCAAAAAATGACCAGACTCATTCATTCATTCGACTATGGCAGCAGCAAGCATAAAGTAGTCATTAAAACAATTATTGGCGTCGATAATCACATCAATTGCAATGAATTAAACTGAAGAAGCATACAGAGAGAGAGAGAGAGGAAGAGGGAGAGAAAAAATAGAGAATACATTGATTCCTCTTCGAATCGATCAATTTTAATGGATGCTTTCAGACAATTTTTAGATTGATTGCTTTACTCTATTTCTGGCTCTTGTATTTGTCTCGTTTTTTTTTGTTATTGTCTGTTTCAAAACTATTCATATATAAAAATTGACGATGATTTACAAACACAATGAATGGCGATTCAAAGCAATTTGTTTATTTAAACGGTCTCCGTCTGTTCGGTCTGGAAGTGGGAATAAAATACATAAAATGATGTGCTAGACCATTGACATATGATCAATGGCAATGCGTACATTCGATGTGCGATTAATTCAATTTTCAATCAATTTGAGCTGGAGAGCAGCAGAATTGCGCGTGTCAACACAATACCACATATCAAAATGCATGGTCTGCGGTGCGAGCGCGCATTCGCTAACCAGTCAGACAGACTCACAAAGTGTTGTGGTTGTTTTTCCACTTTATCCACTTCACTATTAATAGTTGCTCATTTAAATGAGCACAAAATGCGCATTCAAGTGTTATTAAAGTGTGCGGTTCTATCGTTTTGCATTTTTACAGTTTTGAAAAATGATTCGTTAAATTGTCTGTTTACATTTTTGTTTGTTTGTTTGCAAACAATTAAATGCAAGTTTTTTTTGGTGTTGTTGTTTCTTTCCGGAAAATGGCAGTGATTTTGATATTGTTTTCACATTCAACTCCTCATCGAGTTGAAAAACGACTTTTTTGATAAGAGTCCCACAATTTTTTCTAATATATCGACATGAATAAAGAAAAATAAAATTGTCAATGAAACGGGTTCGAAACAGTGAAAATGAGCACACACAGAACCAATGCCTTTTTCCATGCAAATATGGGCGACGTGTAGGACAAAACAAATTCACAATCGATTGCTGTTTGTCTGTCTTTTGATTTTTTTATTCTAAAAATTTGAAATGAAAACAATCGAATTGCCATTGTTGGGTGCAATTGCAAGTTTGATTGAACATTGATACATTGTTGACGACGACCAAATGAGCGACAAGTGAAAAAATCAATCGACACACACACATACAATTAAATGCATGCATTTTACAACTATTTATGGTAATTCATATTATGATGAAGGTCCATTCAAATGAACGAAGAAAAAAAAACGTACACGGCTCATGATCTATCACAATGAACACATTTCATATTTTTCCATGTTATTTTTCCTTCGAACGATTAATTGCAAATTGACATGTTGACGCAATGAATTGGCATCTAAATTGCAACACTCAAACGAGATTTAGCATATGCTAATAGATTTACTTTCAACAAATCTAGAAAAAAAAATATTTCAAAATCAATATTTGATTTGTTCTATTCGTGCTGGGGGTGGACAGTTTTCAATAAATAATACTCACAATAATCGACAATGAAATTTGCATATAAAAAAAAAAACACTTTCTATTGGAAAGGATTTTTTTCGGAAAAAAAATTTCAAAAATGCCAAACGTCGACAAAAACAGTCCCAATCTTATTGGATTACTTCACTTTTTAGAGAAATATATGATTACAGAAGCGCGCTCACGTACCATTTAAAGATGCAATTCGGTGTGTTTGGTTCGATGATGTTTCGTGACCATAAATTTACAAGACAAAAAAAAGTGAAATTGTTGATTTGCATCGATGATGGAATATGATTTAGAGATGAAGAAAAAAAGAAACGGTATCTATTGCAGACTGTCGCAGAGAGGATCGGTCATTGATTTAGCATATCTCGTGCGATTACAACATCAGTTTTTTTCTTTGTTGACTGTCACGAACAATTGTAACCGATGATCACTATCCACACCAAAAAAATAGTCATGAATTACCGTTTTTCTTTTCTTTTTCTCGTTTACCGTAGAAAAAACTCTTTTTTTTTCTCTCGAAAAATTCAAATATTTTGCCAATTCATTCATAATTTCTATTTACAACGAAAAATTGTGACAACGCTGCACAAAGGGAATGAGTTTGATGTTCCAATTTTCACAAGTCACACTATACAAACAGTTCAAGTGACAAAACAATAAATCGAATTACTGTCTTTGTGTCGGGGCTGTTTCGAACCCGATCGAACTCTTTTCAATTAAATAAATATCGATAAATTATCATCGTTGTATGTGTGTGTGCATCGCACTTTATCAAACAATCATCAATCTTATTGCATTGTGCTGTTATCGATTTTTAAAATGCATTCCAGCCCATCGCATTCAATGAGACGCTGTATATCGATTTTTATTGGCGATTTACACGACAAAAATGTGTTGCTGTGCGTGCGAGCGCGCACATTGTATTTCAATTTTTATTGATGGTTTTACTCATATATTCGCCTTTTTTGTTCCGACTCATTTCAGTTCATTCCATGGCCCCTTTTCCACATTTTATGAATTACGCATTGTCAACAAAATACAGATCACTATTGAATGAACACACCAAAAATGGGATAATTGAAATGAAAGAAGCGAACAAAAAGCGAATTGTTAATGACTCAAAATTAAATGGGATTGAACAGTTTAAGTGGAAAAAATTGAATGTGCAATTTATGCGCAGAAAAAAACAATTTGAAATGCCGCGAATGAAAAATGCACAACTATTGTTTGCAAGGAGTTAAATCAGCAATCTTTGACCTTTTCACGTAAACCAAAGCTTAATTCGAATTAATTTCACTTATTTTCAAAACGATTGCTGTCAAGCTTTCAACTCAACATGAAAATTCCGTTTAAAAAATTCAAACAAAATTATAATTAAGAATCCGATTCAATTGCCTTTTAAAATGTGATCGTACTTCATCCGTCCCTTTCTTATTCACTCCAAATAGAAAAAAATCCCTGAACTTTAACCAACTTGCACATGATCTTCTGCACATTGGCCGAAAAAAAAAAAGAATTCCGAAAATTCAAGCCCGCAATCACTTTTCTGCACTTTATTTTTTGTTTGTTTGTTTAACGATCAATTACAGCTTTTACAATGTAAACAAATTGTTCTGTTTTTTTTTAATGCAAGTGTTTGCATAATGTTTTTAATTTCCTTTTAAATGTTTGGCGTTGGTTTTGTTACGGTAATTAATTTTTTAAAAAGATATATATTAAAAAGACAAATATATGCCTCTGGATCCTACGTACTTTAGCAGTCGTGTGAAAAAGATAAATAATTTTCGTATGAAGAACGCGATCGCACTAAACACGAAATTAAAAGACAAAAAAAAGGACCGTTTCACGTGAACAGTTCGCGAGTAACTGAACGATTGGTGCAAAACAGTGGATCGCATAGGTTTTGCTGGTGTACGCTCACACTAAAGTGGACACAACACAGTAAGATCGCGCGCGCAGTACAAGCAAAATCAAGAACGCACTGTATGCGCCTGCGACAAACGTTTAACATGAATGAACGAAAGAAGAAATGAAAACAAAAAAAAAACATGCATGTAAGCCAGCCGGTGTATATTTGTATGAGATTGGAGACTTTTTTTTGCGAATCTCGTTAATGAGCGCCATCTGATTTTAGTGTGAATTAGATGCAAAAACTGAATTTAATTCTGTAGCATTGAAATGAAAAAGTGAAAAAACAACAACAATAGCACGGCCACACAGAGCTGTACATCTATGCGTGCTGATGCATACATACACATATACGCTTTCTTCATTCTTTCATTCCATTGCTATACGTATCTCACTGGTCAACAGATCTATGTAGCCATGTTACTGTTGTTGTTTTTTTTCTCTTTTTCGATTCAATTCATTGTAACTAAATTGAGTTCAACTATGGAATACAAGATGGCACAGATGAGGGGAATTCGCATTTTGTCTCTTCATAGGCTTAGCCGGTTGATGTAAGCAAAGCAAAAAAATATATATAGTCAAGTTTTCGTTCACATCACGATACACTGTTTGTTTGTTTTTTCTTCAAACAACGCGCACAGCTTACAACGATCAATCGCGTGGACATGAAAGGGACAGATTCGTACACGACAAGACAGCGGAAGAGCGAGAGAGAGGGAGATGAGTGAGTAAGAGAGAGAAAAAAACGTAAAAAAGCAGAAATAGAGAACCGAATTAGAAAAAGAAACGCGTACGGTGAAATAGCATCGGGGAAGAAAGAGAAATAGAGAACGAGCGGCTCATGAATTCGATATATATATACACAACAATCAACAAGACCTTAATGTATGTTGTCGTTGTTGCTGCTATATGATTGAACTGCATCCCACATACGATCAACATCATTCCAGCTCACTCATTCACTCTCGGTCTTGGTTTTCGAACTCTTGCGCACCTAATGCTGCGAGCACCTTTGTGTGCGAAATGAAGAAAACCAATTTGCTCATTTGGAACATTGCTACGAATTGCAGATGCATTTGTTTTTGTTTGTGTTAACAAGAGTAGTGTGGCAGCGGTAGCAACAGCAGCAGCAGCGGCACCATCGCGGGCAAATTGGTGCAATCGGGCCAAAGATAGCAAAATCAGTTGATTTGAAATCGAAATATTTTAATAACATAATCCGTCGTGATGTGCACTGCTACACTGCACTCACACACCGACATGAGTGTCGGTTGGTTTCAACTGGATTTTTCAATTTGTATTTCATTGCGCTAGATCTGTGATTGTGAAACATGTTCGTTACTTGTACAAAAATTCTTTTTTATTTTGTCGTTGTTTTTGCTCTTTTCGTCTCCGCAACAGCATCGTGTTGATGAGTTTAGATTGGCATGAAAAGGTGCCTTTATATCTACCGTGTTTGTGCTTAACGATTTTTGCAGTGAAACATGTTCGTTAATTCTATTTTTGTTTCATGTAATTTAGCAAATGAGCCGAAAGAATGTTTTGAAAACGTTCCATCTGACTCACCTCACGGCTCATGTAGATTCGGAAGTGTAATTTGTTTGACACACAGGTGTTGTACATCTTCTCAATCCGAGAGTATCTAAATGTCACATTTCATTTTTGGACGAACACCTCATTTGTCATCATCATACACACGCATATACAAGTGCCACGACGCACACCAATAACGTTCATCCGTTTAATTCGATTTTTTTAAATTAATAAACCGTCATGCAACCATATAAAGAAGCTTGGTTTGTCTTCCAAAAATTCCATTTGTCAGCGTGTTTTTTCGTTGATTTTTCGCCAATACTCGAAAATGGACCTTTTACAAATGGCCTTTGAAAGTTCACATAACTGCTGGATTAGCCAGTGATTATATGGGTGGTTGGCCATCTTTTATTCGATGACTAAGAGCTTTGAACAAAGAAGCGCACCACCAAATTTAGATCAATATATACTTAAATCCTTTAATCTGGCCTAATTTAAACGAGCACTTACTGTCATTCAACTCATTCAAATGAGTTATAGATGTGGTACGCGTTTTTCACACAACTTTTTCCAAATCCATTTTTAGATACTCCTTTCACATCATGCTCCACATCTAATTGACTCTCTACTAATCAAATTATGAATACAAAAAAATGTGTCCAATTAACGTTTGGATTCAACGATATCACGCTGTAGGTGGTTTTTAAATATCTTTCGAATGATGAGGAATGATTGTCGAGAGAAAAAAGACAACCAAATTGATCCAAATTAAATAAAATGTACAAAACCCAGTGTCCAATGCCACATAGTGAATGAACTTATTAATTTTTTGTGTCAACTTTATGTTAGAAGATGAAAAAACAGCATTTTTCTTATAATGGCATTAAATCTTTTGGCATTTTTCTTTGAAATATATATGCCCAGTCATGGTGGATATGTACAATGGATTTTAGAATAAGAAATAAAAGATACATACGGAGTTTATCAATTCAAATCCATTAATCATTTAGTTGAGTTTGTCACTCACTACATAAGACACCAGCCACATCACAAAATGTTTGTTTTACATGCAACACGCTCGCATTTCGTAATATGCAATGAAAAATGTGCGACTGAAGATAATCGAAGATGATGGTTTAGCTGTTGTTTTTATGACTTAAGAGATCACATTGCCTAGCAGTGGTAGTAGGCAATTGATGCAATGCGGATCTTTCAATTACACATCCGCCGATCGTGTCACTTGAAAGACAGCTGTGGGAACAGATTTAACGAGCGAAAAAACGAAGCAGAAAACAAATTCATATGATACTTATGAGGAGAAGAGTTTAATGGTTAGACCGTGTAAAATTTAATATTTTAAGTTTTGGTTTTTCCATTGGATTTCAATCAATGACGCCAGTTTTATGTCATTCTAGTTAGTTGTAATTTATTTTTTCAAATATTTTTGTACAGTTATTAATGTTTAACTCGAAAAAATACACTTTTAGAACTGCTTCAACGGTTGTTGTGAAGTTTTCTTGAACAAAAAATTCAATCCGAATAAAATGCAACTCAAGTGAACGTGAATTCCACATCTGCCCAGACGCGTCTCGCTGGAATGTACATCGCTTGTTGCGCATTTTATCCATTGCATAAATAAGAATTGAAATTGTTTATTTTTCGTTTGTATTAGCACGTGTGTGCTGAATAATTTCGTACAAATGGTATGTGGCGTTGGGAACAATATGCGACCAAATGAAAATTGATTAGCTATTTGTTTGCATCGATGCCGATGCCGATGCCGATATATATATTGAAACTGTGAAATGGTTCAATTGGAAAAGGTGAAACATAATTCTTTTGTTGAGTATTTGTTTCGGTCATGGAACCAACCAACAAATAAATTATGGTGATTTTTTTATGTTCGATTTTTCACTTCGCATTATTCTCGTCAATTGAAAATCATAGACACGCTTGTCAAATGCATAAATCACCAAACCGACCAAACATATAATATGCTCATTCGTTTGCTCACTCATGTTCTTGCTCAATTTTTTCTATTTCTTTCTATTTCTCTCTCTCTCTCTCTCTCTCTCTCTCTCTCTCTCTCTGTGTGTGTGTCTCCTTCTTTTTCTCGCTCCGAGTGTTCCATTCGTCCCCTTCATTCTCTCTCGTGTGTTTGGTTCTGTGCATAGATAATAAAACATTTGCATGCTAAATAAAACAGCATACAATGAGTCATTTTCGTCGTGAAATAAAGCACAATGGGAAATTGGTGGTATGAGCTCTCTGTGTACGAGCTCGAATGCGGAATGCTCAAAAGGAATCATGTTATTGAGTGAGTCGAACTAAAATCGACGTTGTATGTTTTGACAAACATAAATTTGTACTAATCATATTCGAGTTAATACGTTAACGGTACATTGTACTTACATGCACAGTCATACACACATATTTATATATATGCTGACCTCGACCGATGGAGTTCTAACGAAAAATGTTTTTTTTCTCTTCACATTAACTGTAGCATTGTTCCTGACACCTTTTCAACTGTGAATTACGAGCACGCAACATATTTTCTGTGGATTGAATCAAACATAGTCTATTTTGTTGATCATTTGAATCTTTTGTGGAATTTCTTTATTTCACTAAAACGAGCGAATTCGAGGAAATTTTAGTGTTTAGCTACATTGCAAATGTCGTTATTGATGAGTTTTAGTCACATCAAATTTCCTGCATGAAACAAATCAATTAATTTTGATGTATATGCTATTTTTTTTAACTCGTTCCAAACACATATGTCTATATATGTGTGAATGGTGTTGCGGGTAAAAACATGCGAAATCAAATGACAAACAGAATGTTCTCATCAAAAAGAAGGTGCTGGTGAAAGACACATAGACGTCAATTATAGCACTCATGGTGACAAAAAAGAATTACATGTTGTAAGAGAAAAAAAACTAGGTCATAACTTGTTCTGTTCTAAGGCAGAAGAGGCGAATAAAAAATACAGCCGAGTCGAAACAATCAAAATAATTTTGTTCTGTTTAGCACGCATACTTTGTTTATTTGAAATGTCCATAAAGGAAAAACATGAAAACCATAACAAATCTATAAATAAATCACAATTCGCAAACAAAATGAGATAGAAACAACAATTCAACAGCGAAATCTCAAGAAAATTAATAACTAAATTACACAATGTTTTAACGCGCACATAGAGTCGGGGGCACCGTGAACGGAGCATAATGTTTAGTTCAAGATCATCGCATATCTCTTAATATGGAGGGTTGACACTGTGTATGTGAACGCGCGCGCTCTTCGGTGTCTTATATTGTGTGTGTGCAAGATTCGAATGTGCTATGCAAAAGCGATAGAGTTTAGCGGTGTGTATTTCGGCGCTTTATGGCTTTTTATGTCGGATTTCAAGACTCTCTATGTGTGTTTCTTTTTTTGTTTGTTTCTTCTTAGTCGCGCTCTTATACCGTAAATGGCATCAACAATAAATTTTGATCAAACAAAAAATATTGTGAAATGTATATGCTTCTCTATACGTATATTGCACGAGTTTTGCATCGTCGTTTGAGCTTTTTTGCTCTTTACGGTTTGTTTCAATATCATTTTTGGTGTACACAAATTAGGCAGGCAATATTTTTCGATGACTAATGCGAATATATTTATCGTCTGATACGTAGCTCGGCGACCAATTTAAGTGACCGGCCGTGTAATATTCATAACCATTGTTCCATTTACAAAATTTGAAGCATCATCCGGGATAGAAATTTGGAATTGCAACAAAACCACCAAGTAAGTAACCATCGTTGTTAGAAGCTGCAAATTGAATAATTTCAAAAATTCGTTAATCATTCCCTGCAATAAGCACGAATTTTTGCATTCTCACCGATTTAAACAAGTTTCGATTCACATCGAAAAAGCCACCACAGTTAATATTTGAGGGATTCATTTCGGTAGCACGCAAAAACATGTTGATTTCCGTTTGCTGAAACAAACAAATAAAAGCCATTTGGAAAATATTACTTTTCAAAGGGAATGAAATAGTTACCGCGTCGGAATTCATCCAACTAAGCTCAACCATAAGCAGTTTCTTTTGGAAATTTGTTCGCACGTGTTGGCTCGCATAATGCGCTTCATCGCAAATAAAGAACAATAGAGAAATATTGCAGAACGCATTCAGCATTAAACCTAGGATAAATAAAGTAGTCAATAAATAGGGCAATCAACTAGTGAATAAATCCAACTAACCAATATCCTTTAGACCAAATCCTTCCGAAATTTGTGACATCAAACCATAAATCGAAATTGTAATCGTAAAGAAGAGATACAAATTGAGAAATGTAAAGGTGATGAACGTCGCTGTTCCGGTATCACGACATAATTTCGATAATCGAAGCCATAATGCGCGATAATCGGCAACCATGGCTGCTGGACCAATGTGACGTAAAGCCTAAAGGGGTTTTATTAGTTTTAAAGAACATAGTGTGTTAAGTATGAAGAGGTTATTGTGTACCTGCTGAAAATCTTCTGCCAAGATAGTCGCCGACCGACTCAAAGAATCACAAGCCAAATACCAATAGGCGCCCATCATATAGGTCACATTATCCAAAATACAGTATGGAACTATCTAATATGAAAAAAGTGTTCAGAACATACCGAAAGTGGTGTAGAACATTCAAATAAAAAAAACCTGGAATAGTTTGAATTCCACCATTGTTAAATGAGTTATAATCACAGACAAACTCGATAGTGCCGGAAGCAGAATTGCGATTAACAACGCTTTCGTTTGGGTGTTCAATGGCAAAACACGGCCGGATACTTTGTAATACAGAATCTGTAGAAAAATAACAAAAAAACAACGTTTTTTTTATCGAATTATTGGGAAATGATTTAATTTACCAAATTATTGTTTAAAAGCACAAATAAAATTATGGTGACAAAAATGTCATTATATAAGGCAATTTAATGGGAATAAATACCAGAAAAAAATTTACCTCAAATTCTGTCCAATTGTTCAATACGTCGGTAAATTTTCGTGTTTCGATCCATGTCATTGGGATAATTACGATGGGTAAAATATTTAAAAGGAACAGGTAGGCGATAACCGATTCCTCAAAACGTCCTTCAAGCGATGAAATAATTTCGATTCGATCCTGAGCGATGAAAAAAACGTATGTCTGAAATAAAACGTCCTTATTAAATTTTCAAAACTGTTTGTATTTGATTTTTCGAAGCCAAATTGGTTAAATACCGCGAGTAAAATGTAGATAAAGACAGCATACGCGACAATTTTTGACATTAACACAAATTCAGCTTGGCCCGGTTCATTTCGGCTATAGGGAAAAATGCCAAGAACCCGAAGAAATCGATAAACGGGCAATGAGCTCTTGTAAACAATATCCTGTGAAGATCGACATTTTTTTTTTTAATAACACAATTTCGAAAAGCAAAAAATATATGATTATTATTATTTTCTCGTAGAAAGTGGTAAGAAAAAAATCACTTCACCTCATCGCTAGTCTCTGATGCGAAAGCAGCTCGCTTAATCGATTGTAGTCCTTGTTCGGTTACGTCGATTTTTGATTTCTTCCCAAAAGTCGCACGTTGATTGGTCACTTTCGGTTTTGCATCCAAAAATACTGATTTCGGTTTTGATGCATGAATTCGTTTGACCAATTCATCCGTATCTATACTGTAGCGCCTAACTGACGCTCCTTCTTCCGGTGGCTGTAAACTCATCATTTTGTATAACAAAATTTTATTTTTCCAGTCTCCGGAAAATTAATCTGTTCCCCAGCACAGTGCGACACAAACTGAAAGAGACAACAGAAAATATAGACTGTCGTAGTCAACATGAGTTTCGACATCCTAATTAGAAATCGATGAATTTGTTGTGCATTTTTTAACATTCCATTTTACTTTTTGTTTGTTTTGTGAATTTTTCAGTAGTCGATTTCGAGTCGCACTCAATTCAGAACATCGTCCACTGGTCGACTTTATATGAAGGATAGTTACTGTCGAATTCTCGCGATGATAGTAAATGAAACACAATGACCTAGTGCACTTGATTTGGAAATAAACAATTCAATTCATATTTTATGACACATTGACCATAGCACCTTCAAATTCGTTCCACGTCCTCTTGTAGACCCAGTTTGGCTTTTGAGAACCAACAGATAAACCGTCTAAAAGGAACTTTTTTTCGGAAATTTATGAGAAAAGGCGGCTTATTGAGCTATTTTCAGAATGATACACTTGGTTAGTCTCGATAAAAATACCGTTTGTCCTAAAACAGCAGATCAAAAATTGTAACAGAGAAAAGCAGATCAAAAATTGCTGGTGCAATTTCGAAATTGAAAAAGGATGAATCGAATGCCAAATTTGATTAGTTACGCTTACAAGAAAATACAGAGGAATGTCGATACAATTTCCAAGCCAAAAATAGTCACCAATAAGGTGCATTGTCCTATTGGAATCTCTTACTAGATCGTTAACGATACAATCTGTTTTGTGTAACACAAATTGTGTTCTACATGAAAAATGGCTGATTTCCCATATAAATCGGCTCAAAAATGAAGTTTGCCTCCACAGATTTATGATGGAGCGTGAAAATGGTCTGCATTATGGCTGAATTCGGTGAATTAAGGTCCAATCTCATTTTTCCGCTTGCTAACTCTTTGGGTGTGGTACAAAATTTCGCCGGATTCGGTCCCTGAATTATCGATATATTTTTTCAAATATATTCATTGAAACTACAAAATTGAAAGAATTTAACTCGTAAAAATTTCCATCCGATAATATAATTTTGAATACAAAACAAACGGCATAAAACGCTGCGATCTCCTAATATGATTTCTGTTCATTGATACAAAATACGTACTGCGACCGATTAATTTATTATCACCAATTGAGATAGTTAACGGAACCGTAATCTCAGTCAAATGTACAAGTAAAATCAGTGTCATTTCTGACTTTTGGGCAGACAAAAGTGTGTGTTTGAACGCGTTGCGAGTAGAAAAGTAAATTCCTAAATTCTAAAATGGATAAGTATAACACATGGAAAACAAATGAGGTATTTTTTTTATCCTCCACAAATTTTTTTCTCTTTCAAATTAAACGATTTAGAAGGAAATATTCATAATTTTTACTTTCTTTTTAAGAATTCTGATGACGAAGACGATGTGAGTAGTGAAATAAACAAAATTAAATCGGAGTCGACTTTTTGACAATTCTTATCGACGAAGGTCAGAGGCTATCGTTGCTTCATGATTCATAAGTAGTAAAATACTGCAAGAAATATTATGGCTAGAATTTGCCCGCATGCAGTTTGACATTGACAATTTTTGATTAACATTGTATGATATTTTTTATCAGAAAATGTTTATCCCAAAGCAGGAACAGAATGATTGCAAGACTGCAACAATTGAGTTGTAATTTGTTCAATTTGAACTAATTTTCATCGACGCATTCAAAGATTTACTTGTCTCTTTTAATTGATTTACAACCGCTGAACTGTTTTAGAAAACCAAAACTTAGTCACAATTGATTGTCCGAGAATGAAAGCGAGACTTCTATTCACAATTTATTGAAATGTAACACCACCATACAAAATATGCTGAGAGTCAGCACTTTTTTTATGGCGGTGTTACATTTCGATAAGTTGTGAATAGAAGTCTCGCTTTCATTCTCGGACATTCAATTCTATCTCTTTTTAGACACATCCAAACATTGATATGCCAAGTTTGTTTAGGTCAGAATACATCTTTTTTTAAATGCAAGCTCGAACAATTTTCGTTGATTTTAATTCGGTATATTGTCTCTTCATTCAGTTGGCGACGTCAACTTCGATTGGAGCGTATGCAAGAGCATGAGAAAAAGAAGAAAAAACTCGAAATCGAGCGCACAAATAACAAAAATCAATTTGAATATGTTCAAAAGGCGTTCAAAAAATGTGGCAACAATGAAATGAAACAGAGACGACTGTATGCAGATTTGAGAGAAATCCAAATGAAAAAAGGTGAATTGGATGCCAAATACGAGAAGCTGCTTTTGGAAGAGAAAGAAGCACCATGGAATGAAGACGTGATGTCAAAGCCAGGATCGGAAAAAAATAAAATCAATGAACCATTGAATACAATGTACGATGGTTTGCCGGTAGAAGAAAAGGAAAATCGAATGCGCGATTTTCTCAAAGATAATAAAAAGTTGATTATACAGTTTGGTATGCTACGCAAATTTGAAGATTCGAAAAAATTTCTATTGGAAAACGATCAACTTGTACGCGAAGCAACAGCAAATTACCTAATCGTTTGGTGCCTTGATTTGGAATTGAAAAAGAAATGTATATTTTGAAAGTTGCACATCTTTAGACGATTCACTTTCATTTTACATTTGTTTATTTACAGCCAGACTTATAAAACATGTTGCACAGCAAAGTATCTGCATGCAATTCATTTTGGATATGGTGAGTTATTAACTTGAAAGAAATAGCTTAATCACTTTTGTTTCGTTCTTTTCAGGCCAAGCATCTTGACACCAAGCCACGTGCTTGTATCAGTCCGTTCTTTGAACGAATTCAATTGGTCGATGGGAAATATAAAAGACAATTTGACATTGAAGTGGAATCTTTTAAAGAACTTCTTAAGAAACGTGTCACGGTGAAAATAGAAGATGTATTGGAAGTAAGGAATACACGAAAAACTAAAACAATTTACATTTAGTCATTTAAACGTCTTTTTCTTCCAGAAAACAGGGCGAAAGTATCGAAAAGGACCAGGTGGACTCGATCCGAATGAAGTATTTGAAACATTAACAGAGGTAATCGTGTGAAACATGAATAGAATCCATGTATTTGAATGCGACGGGGTATTTTTTTGTATTTTTTTAGCCGCTGCAGAAATGTTTCTTAGTTCGTGACCTAGAACTATTGCGAGACACCCTCAATGAAATGCCTGAATACGAGGCCCGTTACCATTTAGATCGTTGTATTGCCTCTGGTCTTTGGGTACCAGATGCATCGAAGAAACCATCAAGTACATCGCTATTAACCAAATGTTTTGAAGTATTTTACAAATGGTTTGATAAGTTTTGGAGATTTATAACCAGAGATTGAGAGATGAGTGAACAAAACGAATTCTGCACCGATAAATTGATTCGATTTTATTCTAAATAAAAAAATAATGTAAAAAGAAGTAAAACTGTTACGTGTTTTAAGCATTTGTCCAAACTTTGAAATGTGTACGGATAAGCTCTCGAAAATAGCTTTGGTTTATGTATAAACTGAGACTTGGAATATTTCGTTAAGTTTTTTTTTTAAATCAGATTTAAAAGTGTATAAAAAAGCAGAAATAGTTATAAAACACAGCTATCTGCTAACGCTAATATGCTAAAGCATTACTGTGCGTTGACACAAACACATTGCCAAATAATCAAATACAAACTTTTTTTAAACGAGTTTTTTTTTTGTACACTGTATACTAGCAAAATTCCCGGAATCAAAAACTTTATCTGCTTTGAGCGACAGAATATTTTGTTAGTTTCAAGTCGAAATCTGTCGCTGACGGCAAAGCTTTAAAATGGTCAATTATAGCGATTGGAAAACAATTGAGGTAAAAAGTTTTGATAACTGTTCACGTTACAATATTTCATTATAAAATCCAAAATCGATTTCTTTTAAATTATTTTTAAAAAGTTTTTTTTTTTTTGGTATATTGATGCTGTCAATTAGCAGGTTTCGGATGATGAAGATGACGTAAGTAATTTATTTTGAATGAAAACAATTCTTATCATTCGCATATGACATTTGGCATTAAGCATTGGATACAATGATTCATGTGCAACCGCTGGAAATATAAACGCAGATTAAATATCACGCGATCAAGAGAAATTCAGTTTGTTTTTTATTATTTGGAGACTGGAGAGGTCTCTTATCGAAAATAGAATTTTACATGGATGTTTCATTTCTGACACTTTTGTCTAATATTTTTATTTAACGTCTTTATAATTCAATTAATAAGGAATTGAATCTACGTGTTTTTCCTATTGAATTCGTTTTAATTCAATTAATTAATTTTTTAATTTCAGACTCATCCAAATATAGACACTCCGTATTTGTTCAGGTGAGAGAATGAGAACCTTTCCATTTGATTTGAAAATACTTTTTAATATTTTGGATAAAAATGAATATATTGTATTTCAACAAATGTTTCGATTTTGTGGCAAAAACCTGATTTGAATCGCATGACCAAAATTATTTGGGCAATTTCAAAAATCAACCTATTTAATCTGTGATTTAAAATCCAAAACCGAGAATCCATTGAACGTGGTAAATTTTAAAATTCCGTCCCTCTTTTGAATTCAACCTTGAATTTTATTGCATCATTTACCACGATGTGTTGTCCCCAAACGTTTTCAGATTGAGGCATCAGAATCTAGTGGATCGTGTAGATGAGTATGAGGAGAAGAAAGGAACAAATAATCAAAAGCAAATGTATAACATTCAACAGGAGATAAGGAACTGTAACGGCGACGAAAAGAAATGGGCACAACTTCAGACAAAATTGAAAGAGATTGAATCGAAAAAGAGCGAATTGAATGCCAAATGTGATGAGTTACGGTTAAAAGAAAAGAAAACACCTTGGAATTTCTATACAATTTCCAAACCAGGCTTCTCGAAAACGATCATCAATACATCACCGAAATCAACGTATGATGATTTGAACGAAGAAGAAAAAGAATCTCGTAGGCGCGATTTTGTTAAAGACAATAAAAAACTGCTGAAACTATTCGGAATGATGCGCAAATACGATGATTCGAAAAAATTTCTTTTGGACCATAGTCAACTTGTGTGTAAAGCGTCGGCTAACTACCTCGTCTCTCGGGCAATCAGCTTGCAAATGGAAGCAAAAAGAATGAATCAATTCAAATATTTTGTTAATTAACAGATCGTTTAAATTGGATTTATATTTGTTCACAAATACAGCTAGTCTCATGGAACACGTTGTATTTGTATGCAATACATCTTGGAATTGGTGAGTTTCATGCGATTAATATTGGTATTCTTTGTTTTTGACGAATATTGTTTCTATCAGGCGAAAGAACTTAAAAAGGATCCACGTGCATGCGTCGGTTTATTCTTTGATCGAATCCAAGAAGCCGGTTTTGAGTATAAGAAAGATTTTGATCTTGAAGTAGAATCATTCAGAGATCATATTGAGAAACATGTTTTTGAAAAAATCAAAGACGATCTCGCTGAACAAGAAGTAAGACAATGAGTACATACTTTTTTTTATCATAAATGAAATTTGTCTACTTTTCAGGAAGAAGAACGCAAGGCACGTTTGGGTCCAGGTGGTCTCGATCCAAAAGAAGTCTTTGAATCATTGCCAAAGGTATTCATAATCATTAAAAAAATTATTGATTTTATGTATTTGAATTATTCTTGTTATTTTCAGTGTCTTCAAGACTGTTTTGAAATTCGTGACATTGAACTGCTGCGAAGTACCTTTGATAAAATGCCTGTTTATGAGGCCCGATATCATTTGGGTCGCTGTGTAGCTTCTGGTCTATGGGTTCCGGACGCATCCAAAGTAGAAAAGCGATCGATTATAATATCGCTGATGACCAAATTTTTGGAGCTATTTTGCGGATGGTTTGATACATTTTGGGGATTTTTAACAAGAGCTCATGAGTAAACAAAATGACATTTTGGTATCGATATATAAATATTTAGTAGAAAGAGTGTATGATGAAACTTTTACTTTTCCGCACACCCACTGTGTGTTAGTGAAGTATTTTGTCTAAAGAAGGATCGAAGTAGTCAAAACAATCTCACATTAATTGCAGAGTTATCACTCAGTTTGTACCTTTTTATGACCCAGTTAAAATAAAATATATTACGTATCAGGAAAATTGAACTTTATGTTAATTTTATATTTCTAGAAAATATGTTTTTCAAATATGTGATTCAAATGATAATGACAAAACATTCAAATAAAATGATCGTTTTTGCTATTCGCTGTGTTTAATGTGAGAGACTTTTTGCACCAAAAGTTTCGTTAAATTTCCAAAGTCCCAAAAATAAATTCAAATACAGAGAAGTAGCCATAAAACGCAGCGATCGACTAACGCACCGAAACCAATGCATGACTGAGCGTTGGTACAAACGCACTGTTACACCGGCAAAGTGTCAAATAAAGAACGCAGCCTGCATTGCGACAACACTCACTCTATTATTCTGGGAATGACTTTTCTAGAATAAGTTGTTTGTCGTGCACCTTAGTCAAAACGTGAGAAATTCCCCAAATAAAGAAAGAAAAAATTATCTGTTTACGTAAAAAAACTATATATTTTGTAGATTTGAAGAGAAAAACCGGTCGCAAAATGGTCGATTACAGCAAATGGAAAGATATTGAGGTAAAAATTCAAGCAAATTTTTTGTTTACACTAATCCCATATCACATTCATTACAACCTAATATAATTTTTAAATTCATATTTCCAACAATATTTATGTATTTTTCATTGTTTTAATATCAATTTACAGATTTCGGATGATGAAGATGACGTAAGTAGTAAATTTTAATCAACCTCAAAAACTATGGCAACAATTGTTATGATTGTGGTTTACTAATGATGATACAAATGGAAAGAATACAGGCAGCAATATTGGGAGACCGCGAGATAGAATCCATTAATTTTTAATGTTAATAATGTAGAGAGAGTTTTTTTTAAAGTGAAATAAGCCATTTTCCCTTTCCATTGGGAATTTTTACGCTTTTTTTCATTTTTGTATGACGTTATTATTGATTACATAAATAATTTGTCATTTCAGACCCATCCAAACATTGACACACCAAGTTTATTCAGGTAACTGCAATTCCGAGCTTGATTCCTCTTTAGTTGAATGTCTCCAACAATGTTCGATATCAATTGAAATAATTCCCCGAATTAAAAAAAATTGTTCTTCAAACATTTTCAGATGGAGACATCAGGCTCGAGTTGAACGCATGAATGAGCAAGAGAAAAAGAAGCAAGCAATCGAAAATGAGCGTAAAAATAATCAAAAGCAATTGGAAACAATTCAACAGGAGTTGAAAAACTGTAGCGGAAATGAAGAGAAATTGTCACAACTTCAGGCAAAATTGAAGGAGGTTGAATCAAAAAAGAGCGAATTGAATTCCAAATTTGATGAGTTACGCTTACAAGAAAAGAAAACACCATGGAATGTCGATACAATTTCCAAACCAGCTTTTTCCAAAACGATTATCAATAAAACAACGAAACGATCAGACGATGATCTGACCGAAGAAGAAAAGGAAGTTCGTATGCGCGATTTTGTTAAGGATAATAAAAAATTGCTCGAACAATTTGGTATGCTGCGCAGATATGATGATTCGAAAAAGTACCTCTTGGACCATCCTCATCTCGCGTGCGAATCCACAGCCAACTACCTCGTTATTTGGTGCATTAATTTGCAAATGGAAGAGAAAAGTATGAATCAATTTGCCTTTCTAATTACGATTAATCGAACATTTAATCACATACACTATTATTTCTTACGTACAGCCAGCCTTATGGAACATGTTGCGCATCAATGCATTTGCATGCAATATATTTTGGAATTGGTGTGTTACAGTCGAATTCAAAATGATATTCTTTATAATTAACAAAAAAAAAAAATATTTCTTTTGATTTTCAGGCCAAACAACTTGATGCCGATCCACGTGCATGCATCGGTCCGTTCTTTGATCGAATCCAAGTGGCTGACATTGAATATAAAAAACACTTTGATCTTGAAGTAGAATCATTTAAGGAGCGCATCAAGAAACGTGCACTGGAGAAAATCGAAGATGCACTCGCCGAACAAGAAGTAAGTAAATGTTTTTCGGCGGTTTTTAAAAAAAAGTAGCTTAATTCAAAATAAATTAAATATTTGTTGTTTTCAGGAAGAAGAGCGTAAGCAACGTTTAGGTCCAGGTGGTCTCGATCCAGTCGAAGTCTTTGAGTCATTGCCAGAGGTAATATTCATATACAAGTCCTTCAGACCAATGTGACAACCATTTTCAAAAAAATCCCCTTTAATTTTAGTCGCTTCAAAAATGTTTCGAAAGTCGTGACATTGCCTTATTGCAAGAGACAATTAAAACGATGCCAGAAGATGAGGCCAAACTTCACTTGAAGCGTTGTGTTGACTCTGGTTTGTGGGTACCGGATGCATCGAAGGTTGAAAAAGACGGCGAAACAAGTGAAGCCGATGATGGTGCAGCTGCTTCCAGTTCATCCGATGCCAAACCAAAAGTGTCAACCGAAGATGTTGACTAAATATCAACATTTGACAAGTCGTCTTAAAATAAGTTTTAAATAAATCAAGTTTTCTTTTTTTCGATTTTACATAAATTGCTGGCATACTAATTCACTTAAAAAAATCTATAAATATCAAATTGTATACTCAGTTCAAATAAACTTTGAATAAAAAAATGAGAGAAAAAAGTTTATTTATTTATTTCCATTCAGTATATACGGCGAATACAGAAATTGACATGTTCCTAACCTCACTTCCACCATATTTGTCTGCTGTCATTAGTGGGGCGAATGCATTTGACACATTGAATTGTCTTTTTGAATAGAAACGAGCTGACACGCAGAGAGCGTTCGCTTTTTTCATTCACAATTTTTCAAAATCCAAGTACGTAAATTGGGATTTTCTCAATAAATTCAGTGTCATTGCATCAGTTAAAGTCGATTTTATTTGAAAATTGTGAAAGTTTTGTGCTGAGATTGAATTTAATGAATGTGATTAGTGTTTAAATGTAGATAGTTTTTTTTTTTTGAGGTTATACCAACAAAAAGTGAATGTTATTCAGGCAATGCGTAACAATTGATACGAGTGTCATTTGTAAAACTAAACACGTCGTCACTTAAATTCAACCTCACACATTGTCTATCGATATTAGTGCAATTTACAAATACAACATGAATCATTTAATTTTCACACAGACATTTAATCGAAACGTTGTGTGTTCATTTTAGGATGTCACGAAGTAAAGGTACCGAAGAAACCGATAAGCAAACTCGTATTGCCATCGTTAGCGATGATAAGTGCAAACCAAAACGATGCCGTCAGGAATGCAAAAAATCGTGTCCAGTTGTCCGTATGGGCAAGCTGTGTATCGAAGTCAGTCCCAATTCGAAAATTGCCAGCTTATCTGAAGAACTGTGTATCGGTTGCGGTATCTGTGTGAAGGTATGTTACATTTGTGAATAATACAAAACAACAGTTAACCAATAACATGTGTTATTCTTCTATAGAAATGCCCATTCGATGCTATCATGATCATTAATGTTCCAAGCAATTTGGAAAAACAAACAACCCATCGTTATTCGAAGAATTCGTTCAAGCTACATCGTTTACCAATACCACGGCCAGGTAAATATTATTATCCAACACTATTTTGCAATCAAAAAATCCATTTAATATAATGTTTTGCAACACTTTTCATGTGTGTTTTTTTAATAACAAAAAAGGTGAAGTTCTTGGATTGGTCGGCCAAAATGGAATTGGTAAATCGACGGCATTGAAAATTTTGGCTGGCAAACAAAAGCCAAATTTAGGACGTTTTTCAGATCCACCAGATTGGACCGAAATTTTAACCTATTTCCGTGGCTCTGAATTGCAAAACTATTTCACAAAAATTCTTGAAGACGATCTTAAAGCATTGATTAAGCCACAGTATGTCGACCAAATTCCGAAAGCTGTTAAAGGTATTGAAATCAAAATCGATTCTTTTATTAATTGTGAATATCACTATGTAACATTAACGAAAGAAAAACTATAAATTTCAACAAAAAATTATTCTTTACCAAAACGTCTTCAAACTATCGAGAAAATGTCATAAATTTTCTGTTTTTTTTCTGAATCAAGGTCCGGTTGGAGACATGCTTGATCGAAAGGATGATCGAAAAAATCAAACTGAAATATGTGAGATGTAAGTGACTGGTTCTTTGGTTTCTCTTCTTGACAAAAATAAAATTGTTTTTTTTTTTATCACCAATCACCAGGTTGGATTTGACGCATATTCGTGATCGTGAGGTGGCTGCGTTGTCAGGTGGTGAATTGCAACGTTTTGCCATTGCAATGGTGTGCATTCAAAATGGTGATATTTTCATGTTCGACGAACCATCATCATATTTGGATGTAAAACAGCGTCTTAATGCTGCCTTAACCATTCGCCATATGATTCATCCATCGAAATTTATCATTGTGGTTGAGCACGATTTATCCGTATTGGATTATTTGTCCGATTTTATCTGTTGTTTGTACGGTGTCCCCGGTTGCTATGGTGTTGTGACTATGCCATTTTCGGTGCGTGAAGGTATTAACATTTTCTTGGATGGTTTTGTGCCAACCGAAAATATGCGTTTCCGTACCGAATCGTTGACATTCAAAGGTAAATATTATTATCCACTGTTTTGCAATCAACAAATCCATTTAATAATTTGAAACACTTTTCATGTGTGTTTTTTCAAAGTGAGTGAATCAGCTACCGAAGAAGAAATCAAACGTATGAATCACTATGTATATCCAACGATGAAAAAGAGCTTAGGTAAATTCGAATTGACGGTTATGGAAGGTCAGTTCAGTGATTCGGAAATTTTGGTATTGCTCGGTGAAAATGGTACGGGCAAAACGACATTTATTCGTATGCTTGCTGGAAATTTGAAACCAGACGATGGCTCTGGTGATTTACCGGTTTTGAATATTTCATATAAACCACAGAAAATTTCACCAAAACATCAAGGCACCGTTCGACAATTGTTGCATGACAAAATTCGTGATGCATATGTGCATCCGCAATTTATAGCCGATGTTATGAAACCAATGAAAATCGAAGAGATCATAGACCAAGAAGTACAAAATCTATCCGGTGGAGAATTGCAACGTGTTGCTCTAGTATTGTGCTTGGGCAAACCGGCCGATGTCTATTTGATCGATGAACCGTCGGCGTATCTTGACTCAGAACAACGTTTGATCGCTGCTAAAGTCATTAAGAGGTAAATTATTCGATTTTTTTTTCTTTTTTATTTACATTCGTACTTTTTCCTAATATCGATTCTTTTGATACTTCTAGATATATTTTGCATGCCAAGAAAACTGGTTTTGTGGTAGAGCACGATTTCATCATGGCCACATATTTGGCTGATCGTGTCATTGTATTCGAAGGTACACCATCAATGAACACAACCGCAAATAGTCCACAATCGTTGCTGAACGGTATGAATCGATTATTTTAAATTATTTCCAAGAAACCGAAAGAAAATTATTTTAATGTCGATTATTTTAAATTAATTCTTTTCTTTTGTGATTCTCCCCTTAGGTATGAATCGTTTCTTGGAATTACTTGGCATTACATTCCGTCGTGATCCAAACAACTTCCGGCCACGTATCAACAAACTCGAATCGGTGAAAGACGTTGACCAGAAACGGGCTGGCCAATATTTCTTCTTGGAAGATAACTAAACGACATCATTCATACCATGGTCGATTTGTTTTTTTTTCTTTCTTCTCTGGCAACAATCCAACCATTCGATACCGCTTTTTATGGTTTTTATCTCCATCACTGGAACATACGTTTTTTTTTGTTGGAAATTTATAAGTTTTTTTTTTTTAAATAAATTTCAATTTAAATTATGTTCCAAAAACTATATCTTTAGTTTATTCTGACAGACATCATTTCTTTTCTCTTTTCATTTTTAAATTGCTCACAAAAATAATACACAATCAGAACACATGGTCATTATGTTTTACGATGAAATTTTTATTTAATTTTTGTTGGCAATTATTTTTTTTTCTGAATCGTAACTTATTTCAATTGTCGATGCAATCATTGATATTCTTAAAAATTATTAGTACATATACTGACTTGAAAGTTTCTTTCTTTGTATTAAATATGTAATTTTGTATAAATAAAAAAAATCTATTGGAAAAAGTCATATGAATGAATGTGAGTGGAAATGTTTTTTGTGTATCAACGATAGCATATAGTAATATCAACATATTATCGAATCATATTTTAATCTTATATGTATTTTCATTGTGTTTTCTTATCGATGCAACATACATTCAAATATAATGCTTGCAGCAAATCAGTGCATACATTAATAATATGTGCATTTTAGGCCAAGACTAGACTCATGAACGTTTTCCCTTGAATTTTTTGCCTATCTCAAATAACGTTGATAATTCCTACTAATATTTGTTGAAAAACCGGAATATCGATAAGAATGTCTAGTTTTTTATATTTGGTTTCCTACTTTGGTGCAGTTCCAATTCAACTCCCAACATGTAATCACACATATTTCTTTGAGTACTCAATACGTATTTCTCTTATTCATTGAAATAAAATATACATGTCTCAAAATATAAGTTTTTTTTCTTCTCTTGAAATCATTTAAAATCAAATAAATATACAAATTGAATTTTGAAAATTCACCATCATTTGATTTCAATCAACTGCTTTTGTGCCACGGTCGTCGGTTTGGGAATAAACAAAGAAAGGGACCAAAGTATTCTTTGAAACGGTAGCAATAAAAAATTAGCGTAAAGAAACATTTTCTAGTTATTAGAATTCTAAAAAAATCTACACCAATCCATCAAGAATCATCAAGCTTGTTGTGTATGTGAATATAAGTTTGTTTATTGAAAAAAAAGAATGTTGCTACTTGTTTTACTGATTTCCATAACGAGCCAGCTGTTAGTAGTTAAAGGATGGATTGTTCCACCGGAAGAATATATTGACGAACATCCGGAATATCGTAACGGAATACTTTTGTTTGGAACAAAAAATGAATTGAAAGAAGCAAAGAGTATTAATAGAAACTTTTCGCTTTAATCCAATGCCGAATTTTTATAGATTTTATTCAATATTTTAGGAATGTATCAACAGATAGTCTTAGCTGTGGGCAGAATGTGGCCATGTACGGGAGCAAGATATGAACGTGACCTTGTCATCTATTATGAGTTTGATTCTAATTTCACTAACTCATTTCCATACATTGTGCCTAGTTGCGATTCTATAGAGGCGATTCGTGATTGTTTCACTGCTGTCAATACACCTATATCAGCGATAGAAAAGAAGTTGACAGCAAAAAAGTTTATGAAGTTTTCTGAATTATTTAAAACCGCAACAAAGGATTTGGCTGAATTGTATTTTTCTGGTTTTATTAATATATGTTATCGAGAAGATTATCCAATCGTTAGATGCTTAGATTCTGTAAATTTTGGTTTGAATCACAACCACAAACGATGCGTACATTATAAACTTGATGAATCGAAATTGAAACGCTATCAATTTTTTGATGTGCCATATTTTAAAAATTCCAAAGGAATTGAGGAGTTAGCAATTAATAAATATTTTCGTCCTTTACGTGCAAATTATAGTGAGTTTTATCAATACGTTGAGGAGAGAGAAAAATATACAAAAAAATTGAAGCGAGAAAACACATTCGAGCAATACATTCAGATGAATAATGAAACGAATGAATGTATTGGTGCAGCTGAATGATGATAATGTGCAAGTAAGTTGTGATTGTTTCGAACCGACTCGTAATTGCTTGCGTCGTATCAATACAACATTGCCCAATTACCGTGCTAACGAATTTTTCATTCGAAATGGTGAATTTGGCTGTTATAAGGAAGATTATCCTATTGTTAGGTGCTTAGAGTTCGGTTATAGTTATATTATAAAGAACGGTTATATCAGTTATAAAGAAAAAATAAAACGATGTGTACGTTATGAATTGGATGGATCAAAACCGAAAAAATATCAGAAATTTGATGTACCATTTTTCTATGATTCCAAAAATCCTAAGGAATTTAATTTCAATAGTGTAGTGACGACACGTTATGACATTCGTTCTATGTTGGTATCCTTTATTGATTTGGTTGCGAAAATTGATATCACATTTTGGTTTCTATAAATAATTGTTTTTAGTACCATGTGCATTGTGCAACAATAAATTTCTTCAATTTGAAAAATTCCCAATTTTGAATTTTGATTATAAAGAGGAAACTCAAAAACTATTTCAACTGAAGAAAAGACAACAAATATAAAATAAACTAAAAAACTTATACAAAATGTTTCTGAAATAAAAGTTTTTCAAGACAATTTTTTGTGAATTTTATAATTTTTCCTTTTTTTTTCTTTGCATAAATTGACAGTATGCTATTGTTATTATTACATTTTTTCAGTACCATATTTTCATCGCACTTTATCCCTTAAACGATATTCAAAATGTTTTATATTCAATTATCAAATGTGGAAATTGTCTCGGAGGGCATCTGGAAAAAACACTTTCTAAAGGTTTGTTTGGCGTGCTGAAGCCGAATTTTTGGGTTTCAGGACAAAAAAATCAGGGGTTAAGGGGTTATGACCCCTGACTCCTCTAGGGGGTGGGGGAGTTGGAGGGCAGCTGACCCAAAAAATTTCTCTCATCATTCTGAACAACTTTGTTGCACATAATTTTTTGATCCGATGGGAAAATCGACATCAACAAAAACAAATTGGAAAAAAAAGAAGTAAACGACCATTTTTGCAAGTTTTTGTATGGAAATCGTATCAAAACATTATTATATCGCAAAATAAATGTCAAAAATGGATTCCTCGACCCCAAAAACCCCCGCATACACATTTGGCTAGAGAAAAAATAATGTTTTTTGTCTTTTTCAAATAACATCTAAGTCGATTTTTGAATATTTTGGAAAATATCTATCTAGAAAAATTGGGAGGCTCGAAATTCATTTTAGACATATGGTTTCTTGGGCAAAAATTCTTAAATTGATCCAAAGAACACCGTGAGGGGGTACGCTAATATAAAATACAAATATATTTATATTTTATTCGGAATGAAGATTAGCTTTTAATATAAATGATTCGTTTGGCGAATGACATGTCAAACATTGCCTTAAAAATTTACGATTGCTAAAATTATTCCAAGTCAGTTTCTGGTATCAAATCATCCAATGTAAAAGCGGATTTATTTTCTGTGAAAAAATCATGGACATGTAAATTATCCATGTTCTTGTCGCCATCATCAAGAGCAAATGGTAATTGAAAAAACTTATGGGTTTTAGGTTTTTGTTTATCTAATATATATACTCTACACCGAACATCGTTATTTTTTTTTTGTGTCGTATCGTTAAGTAAACAATTTTTCCACGGGTGTTCTTTTAAAAACATTCTGTTATATATCTAAAATAGAAATTAGCGATATTTGTTCCAGCCGCAAAATCCTCTATCGTCACTAATTGTAAGTCCTCTTCATCTCCCTCGGAACTCAAATCAACTGCCAATTTATGTAAACATGCAGTTTAATGCAATGACACCGTTTATACTAAAAAGTAAGAAAGTGAATTTTGGTTTTCTATCGTTTTCATATGATATAAAAAAATTCTCTGTAGAGAATCGAAATCTATCAATTATTCTATCAAAAACTAACACAGGTAGTAAGTTAGTGATACATTAACTTGATTGAATGTTTCAGTTTACTTACGGTTTACTCATCAACTAAAAAAAAAAACAAATACAATAATTACCCGCGTATACATTCGGATATGCTTATTCCCAAAAACTATCAAATGTCCTTTCTTCAGCAATTACCAAAATGGCACACACAACAAGAATTATTAGAAATAATTTCATCTTGAATATTGATTAAATTGATAACAAAACCTAAAAGCTGTTGTTCGCGCGAGAAATAAAATCGAAATGAAATTTAATTTTTCCTTGATACGTTTCAATGATAAAAATAATCAAAGCAAAACTATTAGATCAAGAATCTTATTACAAGCACGTATTGGTAAATTTATAGTTGATGTGGTTTATCAACATTTATACTTAACTTATAATTCTTTTTATTGACAAAAAAAAATAATGGTAAAAATAATGTTGAAAAAAATGTGGCTTATTCAATTAAAGTCCTGTAAATCGACTTAAAACTATTCTATGCATTTTTTCATTGAAGTGCATGCGTCAATCGTTATCTTCAATCTTCTATCATGCCTTGAGTCATTTGCGAAGCGTCCGATGATTCTGATAGGTTAACGTAAGTCTACAAAGTAAATGATTTACAGAATAAACTGTGCTTAAATTTTTCTTCGTGAAAATTAATTATCTACCAATGCTGTAGCAAAGAATTCTCCATCGGTGCCACTGGATTTATTGACAGCATCCTTATTGATATCCTGTCCGTTCTGATGGTTACCATTTTTGAGCGTTTTATCTTCAATGAGTTCATCTTCCTGTTGTTGAAAGAAAACCGAATCGTGTATGAATAAAAAAATAAATCAATCACTAGCGCTTAGTGCTTACGGTAGTGTCTGATGATAAGGAATAAACGCTATCATTTGAAGGGAGTGATGCAAAGGGTTCGAATTTCCTGTAATCACAAAAAAGACGTGTATAATTTGTAAATTCTACGACAATCAACATGTGTCTCCTTACTAACATTAATTCCTTCAAGCACGAAATACTGCACGCTGGTGGATTTACTGTGCATTTGAATGTGACTTCATTCCAGCAATGATGACACCATGTTTTCTTTTTTGTTTCGGACACTGTGCGCATCAATGTATCCTTGAACGATTTTTCCATTTCAATGTTCTTTGCCTCGAACATTTCCTTCTGTTTATTCAATTGAACTGCTAATATTGCGTTCTGTTTTTCCAGTATTGCTTCAACATTGTCATTTTGGTTGGCTTCCTTATTTGCATCGAACGCATTCTTCATGTCGGCATTCATGTTGTCATCAAAATCTTTCACCAAATCGGTTATTTCACCAACTTTCTGATTGAAATTTTGTAGTAGCTTTGCATAATTTCGTCTGAATGCATCGATTGTTTTTTGTGGGTCGTCATGCGAAGTTTCGGTGACAAGCGATGTTGTAAACGGTTCAACAGAATCATCGGTGACTGGGCACATTGCCGATGGTAACACGTTTTTTTCGTCATTATTAAAAGCAGATGGGTCATTTGCCATTGTTGACGAATTCATGTCTTGCGGTGTATGCTCAGCCATCGTTTCGTCTTCGTTTTGTAGCTCCGGGAATGTGTTTTGAACTTCCGATGGATGGTTTTGTGCAATATTTATGGCTTCACAATTATTTGTCGTATTTTGATCGATTTCGTCTATTTTGAAGAAGATTTTCAACAACTGAGAGAAAAGAAAATATTTTAAAAACAATCGAATTATAAATTTTGTGCAAAATTCAATGATTTTAATGATTGAGAGCAACAATCTAGCTAAAATTAATTGACACTGTTATTGGAGACCTAGTTGGAGACAGACGTCGAACACAAAACAAACAGAATGCCGTAAAGTTCAGTTTAACCGCTTTCAATGTTTGTGAATGAGAGAATGAACGAACCAAATCAAGTGTCAAAGTGATGAAGAATTTTGGTACAAAGTTTTACATGACATGCCAAAAATATCCCTCAAACGATGTATTTGCATTGTAAAAAGTGTAAAATTGATGACCGCACAAAAAGTTTACTGTTTAATGTGTCTTTTGACACCGTAGTGTCTGAATTTCGGATTTATACCTAGAGTTGATCAGAAGAAAAGAATGGAAAAAATGGAAATTAATCAATGACTAATGGAACAGAATGGAAAATGAATCGAAGGAATGGATCAGGAATTGTAGAGTAATGGAATAGTAATTTTTAAGAAAGTATGCCTTGATTTATACTTTACCTAACCAATGGTAAATTATTTATCGATCAAATCATAAATAACTCACATTTCAATTCGCGTTCCCGATTATCCAAAAAACACAAATCTTATGAAATGCACCACGTTGTTCAGTTTATGTTGCGTCTGTGCTTATTGGTTTATGAATGTAGTTCAATCTTATTGGCGACAACGAAAAATAAAGAATTCGCGCGTTGTGTATAACCAACACATAAATACACACATTTTTGTCAATGGCAAAACTATCAACAGTCAACATCGGCTATGTATTTGTTACTGCTTTGATAAAAGAGAATACACCAATTTTGGTTCGTGCATAAACAAATGCGCTAACGTTAAATATCATGCGTCATTCACAGTGTAGCTTTTTTTGTAGTGGTTATTGCTTGTTAGAATTAACATTGATTTTGAAAGGGAATACGGGAATTTTTCGAATTTCGATCAAATAATCGAAAAAAAATGTTTGCCGACAAAAATCACATACTTTTAAGCTGAAATGACAATAACACAGTCGATTTAAGGCATTTTTTTGTTCATTATAACACTGTAAATTTGAATATAGACATGCCATGGATATTTATTTATTTTATATTACGAGACCTACATTTATACACAGCCAACTGCGAGCATGCTGGTCGAAGACACAATGAATGATTATTGTCCAAAAAAAGCCAATCAATTTTTTAGACTTCATTCTATGCAAAGTTTCAGGCTGCGAGTAGATCAAATCACTTACGACAGATTCCAATGAGGCTAAAAAATCATCTCAAAAAGAAATAATTCAATGGATTGCAAACACAATAAATGATAATACTATAAAAAGATTTATTGAAAAGATTAATTTTATCCAATGAATTTCGACTTATTCGAAAGATATAATTTTTAAATTTCGGTATTTTACGATTGTATTCTTTTCATATTTTTGTCATGATTGATTTTCTATTTTCACATCATTGTAAATTCAAATGTTTTTATTCAATTCCAGTTCGGTAAAAACATTTCCATTGTTTTTGAGAAAAAAATGAATAGAATTTGCTCATGTGAAGGCACATATCAATTTTCTGAACAAATTGATGTTTAAATAATGAACATAAACAAACTAAAATACTGAGTTTTTTCTCTTAAAATAATTATCAATGATCACTGCTTAATTGATATTATTTCCATAATAATTGGTCGGTCACATCGTCCAAAAATATACATTTGTTTTGTTAGCCTCTGACTAGGAGATCCTTATTTTACTTGATTTTGTTCATTTTGATCAGGTTACATAGTATGGTTTTCTGCGTCGTCAAATTCAATTTGATTCATTGGCATTTTGTTTCCTGTGAACGTGAATTTATTCGAATCATTTTCCTTCAATGCCATTTAAAATCGTAAAAACTCACCACAAATCAAGTAAACATTTTTTACTGCAAGTTTGCATTTGGGACATCTTCACTTCCTTTTTGCAAATTGGACACCATTCCATCTTTTTTGTTTCTTGAATTGCCTTTTGCAACTGTATATCATGATCTGCCTTAAACATAATGTACTGACGCTTCAAGTTGTTTATTGCTTCGTTCTTTTGTTTTACTTCATTTTCCAGTTGATGAATTCGTCGGGTTTTTTGATTCAATACTTCCTTTAATATTAAATTTTCCGCTTGCCATTTGGTTGAATTGTTTTGATGAAATTTCAGGGCTTTATGTAATTGGTGTTCTTTCTTTGGCAAAGACGGCTTGGCCGCAATTCCATTCTCGGAACATTGATTGGTTTGAACGGCTTGTGTTGAACTATCATTGTTTGGACGAATTTCGATTTGTTCGTTGTTTCCTTCTTTTTGAGGTTCAGTCACGGCATTTGATGCGATCTCTTCGGATTGTGTGGTTTGTGCGTTCGATGAAGTGACTTGCTTTTGCTCGGTATGAAATTCAGGTGTATCTTTCGCTTTTAATTCAGAATGATTTGGCGACTCATCTGGAAATTCGAGTTGTGACTCTGATTGCGTATCAGCCTGAATATCAAGCGGTGAGTCTGGACGTGGTGAAATCAATTGATCTTCGAGTTGAGACTCTGATACAGTATCAGCCTGAATACCAAGTGGTGTGTCTGGACGTGGCGATTCAAATTGTACGGCTGGAGATTCTGGTGAGAGCGACTCACACTCCGATTCCATTGGCTCAGTGTCCATTTCGTTAGAAACGCTCAATTCAGAATCCATGTTGCTTTGTGAGTTTTTGTCAGGAGATGAATCGGTTTTTGGCACAATACCATCACCGGTTTTGATTTTTTTATCGTCAGTTGCTTTGTTTCGAATATATTTATGCATATGCAATGTACCGTATGCCTTTCGGGTAAAAATATTACGTAATGATTTCAATGGTATAGTAATACTGTGTTCCTTTGATACTTTGTTCGGTTTGAAATTGGCTGGAGATTCTACAGCTGGCTGATCACGGGGCAAATTGTCATCTGTAGTCTCATTCAATTCCGAATTTATTTCAACTTCTTCAATGCAAAGACGTTTGGCATGTGGTTCTTCCACTCGCGATGTATGGCGTGCTTCACAATCAGCTACTGCGGTTGCACTTCTCTTTTTGTCATTATTATTATGTTTGTGATCATTTTGATTGTCATTTACGGAGTCGATCACCAATTCATCATTTTCCTCATGACATTGATGTGGGAGTATTTGACAAGGTTGCTGGTCTCCTTCATTCTGCAATGTTTTTTCATGTTCATCGCTTGGTAGTTCAGGTATATTTTCATTTGTATTCGGTTCACTTTTATTTATTCGTTCAGTTGAAATCGAATAGTTCGAATTGATCTCTCGGATAAATTCAATTTGTTGAACATTCAGCATATTGTCACATTTTTCCAAACGAATCGAACAATGCAAAATGGAATATTTACCAAGAATATCTTGAATGTATGAATGTTCAGTATCCAAATTCACCGATTTTGGATTGGGTGCTTTGCGACGTCGCAATCTTCGCAAGTAATCCGGCTTTGTTTTTAGTTTAAAATTTTTCGGCAGATTAAGACCTGGTATCATTTCCATTAAATGCGCACCAATTTTATTGGCATCGAATGATGATTTTGATTTTGGTTTTACCAATTTGCATGAATACTTTCGCTCGATGTTCTTGATGTACTTTTTTGCCTCCTGTATGAAAAATGTAAGCAATGTAATGAAGTTATGAATTTTGACAATTCAACAAATAGAAAATGTTCACCTGAATGGCATTGTCCATTTTCTTTCGGTCACGTTCTTGAAGTTTATTTGGATTGTCTGAGAAGAGGATACAATCACTGGTTTCAACGATTCCCATGTCATGTTTTCCAAAAAAACGCACATCAATTTTCTTATGGTTCTGGTCAGTGAAGCCCATTACTTTAGCCGGCCAATAGGGATGACCTTTCAATCTTTTTTTTTTAAGTAGAAAAACATTTTTCATATAAAAGTTGAATAGACTCTTAAAAAAATGATAACTTACCGGGCCCAGATGGGGAGATGCGGAGGATTATTACACACGTGGGTAAACCACTGAACCATAGTATTAGCACGACCAAAACATTCATCGCACATTTCAATGTCATAAATCTCTTTTTCACACAAGTCATCCATTTTACGAGCATCGGCCAAACGGGGATCTTTCTCTGTGAAATACACAATCTCGTTGACAATGAGCTGTTCTATGTGATTTTCAAAAAAAAAAAAATACCTTTTAGCACAATTTCTGCATTGTGTCGAATCCACCTGATGTCACTGATAAATTCCAGCGTTGTTCGGTAACGTTGTTCCTCGACCTTTTCCGCGATGATGCTTAAATCAAATGGATTGATGATATTTGGGCCACTGCCTGTCACTGGCTTTCGTAGTTTTGAAAATGACGTTCCTAAACAGCTGAACTGAAATTTAAAACAGAAACAAATGATTAAGTATGGTGATAGTAGTATATTTCAATAAAACCTTACATCATTGTCTTCCAGCAAACGTTCCGTGATATGTCCCAACATTGTGTGAATCTTTTCCATCTTAAAATTTCTGTAAATTTGGACAATTATCATTATTTGAATTGAGTGGCTCCATTGGGAAGAAAGGTGCCAATGTGCCATCAGTTTTTCTTACCTTTTGGCGTAGTCATCTATTGCCGTTTTCATTCGAATACACACTTCACAACGAAATCCGGACTTTGGTTGAGTGGCATCTTTTGATGTAATACATTGTTTGTGATACGCTCGTATGCACGTTGAACATTGAATTTTCGCATCGTTGCCATGACAAATCCAACAATATGCATCCCATGCTCTTTCACGCCGACTTGGATTGAATTCACCGCTGCCCGATTCAGATGAAACTGAGCATGTTTGTGACATTTTAGCTGTGAATGAGTCATGAAAACATTGAACTATGAAAAATTGTCATAGATTTTACAGCGATAGCATAAACGATCACGTTATAAAATGATGCGCAAAAGTCTTGAATAAATACATGTAAATCGATAGCTGTTTATATTGACAGCTGATGTTTAACGTATACTGTTTGGTGATGAAACAAATGTCAAATTATTGTATAAACATTCCCGAATTATCAACGTCTAGATGATTCGCATTATCATTCAAAAACCGAATTTATGAAAGTGACTGTCTTAAATAGACGAGAAAGTGAGCGTGAGATAAAGAGAGAAATTGTGAGAGAGAACTCCCCTTCGTATTAAAAACACATTACTTTCTTGTATGAACATGCAAGACCGAGACAGTCTTTTTTAGTACAAATTTTTGCACATAAATAAGATGTACGTAAGCGTGAAAAAAATGATAAAAACCGTATGATAAGAAACTTATACAGCTTGACTCACATTATTTTCTATTACTGCGGATTTTTGATACTTTTTTCAATGTTTAAAAAAGAGTTTTTTCATCAAAAACTGTCAAATCTTCTCACTGTTCTTGTTGTGACTGGCGATGCAACGCACTTTATAAAAGTCCATAAAAACCACACACTTTATTTTTTTTCCATCACCAAATGCGTACACAACAACAAACGTCTCGTATTGAAGTCTCAATTTAAACAAGATTCAATAACTAAAATAATAAAGTTAATTTCATCACAAATCAAAATGATTACAACATGTTATAAAATTATGTCGTAATACGTACCTTTTTTGAACGGTTTTTTACTGGCGTCGTTCGTTCGCATTTTGCGAACAATCAAATGTTCTCTACTTCAAAATTTCCTCAAAAATGATATTTCAATCGTGAATAAAAAAAAACCTTCTTCTGTCGTTCTACCGATATAAAAAAATATCTTCACACATTTAATTATGCGACAACGCTTGCGAACGATTCAAATAGCACTGAAACACAAACACGGTAAACGTACACGGCTACAACGCACATTTCAGTATCATGCATACACACGATATACCATGTCAAGGAATGAAAACAAAAACAGAGAGCACTGTATTTCTTGGTCGTCACTCTCTTTTCGCTTGTGTACGTGTGTGTGTTTAGTAACCGGCACATTGAGAGACGTATAATCATACGGTTGCTTCTTTTTGATGAAATAAAAGAAGGAGTAAAAAGAGAAAAGGTTCGACACTCGCATGGGAAATTGTATTGGATTCAATTTATAATGCAATGCACAGTTTCAAAAATGAAATTACTTTTATTCACTGAACATAAAATATGTTGAGATTTTTTTTTTAGAAATTGATATTTAACTAATCTAATCACATGTTTTCAGTGTATATTTTGGAATGAAAGAGATGAAATGCTATTTTTGGTTATGAAATAAAGCAATCTGTTAGATAAGAAAGATGAAAAATAACATTGAAATAACAGACAAAGGCCACAGTAGGGTGAATTGGGGTCTATAACATTTTAATATTCAGTCGGAAATGTAGCAATTTAATAATGACACAATATCTTCAAAAATTGAAACAAAACGCCACTGTAGCTTCTTATCTTTTTTAAACAGGGAATTTGCACATTTTGAAGATTTTTCTTAGCGGGATTGTGCGGGATTGTGCGGGTTCGGCGGAGATGGCATACTTACGCTGTGTGTACGAGTGCAACAGCAATCTTTGTTGTACATACATTTATTTTGTTCAAACTAACATTATAGTAGCCCAGCACAACTGGACACACAGTTAAGTTACTCATCATCTCTGCGTAAGAACGATACACATAGAAAAGAACGCCGCACAGTCCCGTCATCGGCAAAATTACTCCGCTAATGAATTATATGGGAATGCAATATTTTCTGTGCTAATTCTGGTCGTTTCTCATTGAGTATTTTCGAGTACTTTGAAATTCTGATGGAACCACGGTAAAATGCAACAATTGAAGAAAACGGACACGTAAATTTTGGTTCCTTTTATTTCGGTGGTTTAATGCTGCTCCGCAGAAGGCGCTGTACAGCAAGCATATACTAGCGTTTCACAAACACTACTAGTTGCTTGCTGCACAGGCCCTAACAGCATCTGAGCACAGTTGCTTTCTGCTGTTGCTTTTTGATTTTTGCCGTTTTTCGTATGGTCCTAAACATTTAATATCATTGATTTATTGAATTTTGACTTGAGTTAGAGCAGCGATCTCTCGATGTGTACACTGTACAGAGTCCAATTACATTGATAACGAAATGCAGAAAGAGGAAACGACCGTATGCAGAGAATGCGAAAAGAAGTTCGGAGGGCGATTTTTGAATCTTACGTTTTTACGTTCGATGATGGTGACGCCCACGGAACCAATATAAACTAAATGGAGAATGGAGGGGAATGTCTGTTTGAATACATAACGATACATAACAAAGGGATTAGGTAATGTTATGTATCGTTATGTTTTCAAACTGACATTCCCCCCATTCTCCATTTAGTTTATACTGTTTCCGTAAGGCGTCCATCGTTGCATATTTTTTTACTTTTGTATGGAGATAATCACCGTCCGAAGGAGTTTGATAAAAATTCCATATTACCAAGTTTGGTGTTTCAATTAAAAATAAGGATACCTTCCAAATAAAATTTTCGTTTTTTAGCTCAAAAACGAAAAAAGGCGAAATTGTTGTATGGGAGGTACCCTGATTTCTCATTAAAATTTCTTCAAATTTGGTGAGATTTTGTATTTTAGTGAGAAAATAAGATTCACAAGCTTTCACGGTGATTAGGTTACTGAAATGTTTTATGATTTTTCCTGTAAAATTGTCTGTCCCAAGTAAATTTGAAAAATTTTTAACATTTGACATAATATTGAAAATGAAATGCAAAACAGAGACGCTATACAGAACCTGTATAATTTACTATTGGTTTATATGTAGAACATCTGAGCTGCGCTGACATATGACATTTAATCAATAGTAAATTATACAGGTTCTGTATAGTGTCTCTGTTTTGTATTTCATTTTCAATATTATGTAAAATGTTAAAAATTCTACAGATATAAGTGCAGATCAAATAGAAAGTTGGAAATTCTTTCATATCTTGAATCCGGAGACCATTAAACATGTTTTTTTAAGTTAAGAAATCTATTGAAAATTGGTCGTACCTCCAATACACATTTTTTATGTGGTATTGACATAAAATCGAAAATGTTGTAGTGGAATTTCCTTGGAAATTTCCTCCAACTTTCAGAATGTTATTTTTTGTAAAAACATATGCAAAGTTTCATGTTATATTCCAATTTCCAATATCATACATGACACATTTTTGTAAATATTTGCATGAAAACTGAATCCAAAATAAATTTTATTTTAACATCAGATTCAGCTTTCTCATGCCTAGAAACCTCCCTACACAGTATTTATATGAGAAAAATGGAATAAAATATTTTTATTGGCCTTACCTTCATAATGGCGGAATGATGGCTTCTAAAAAATAAAAATAACACAAATTTTCCAGGCGCAATAGTTGACACTGATCAATGATGCCAAAACCTAATATGTAAAAAGTATGTCCCTGACACTGATCTGTAAATTATCTCCCGGTTATGTTCTTACTTTCTTTGAGTTTGACTTTCTGGATAAATTTCCCAATTTTTGAGATCATCTAGCATTTTAGTCACCTTTTTTGATTTTTATATATCATTTGACTTTCAGTTTAATGTTGAAATTGAACATTTTTGTTTCGTTATCATATTATGAAGGCTGTGCAATGTGCGTGTTTAGCGGTTATGAATATCTAATAATTGTTCATGTATTTTTCTCATTTAAACAAAATATAAGGCTGAATTCTTTGCAATTCTTTGTATCAATTCCCCACCAGTGTTCAACTAGTATTTTTCCCAAATCATAACACCAACTTTTCACCTGGATCGCGATTACAATTCAAAGGAGCTGTCAAAAAATACTTACAATGTGATTTCTAGTGCACATAACACTTGGAACTGAAAAATCAAGTTAATTCTTGCTCAACCTCGATCACCTTAATTTACTTACGCTTTACACAAGTTATTTCGAAAGTTCTGATCAAGATAGTTCTAGTGGAGATGCTCTAAATAATCGTTGACTTCACATAATATATTTAAATTAAAATGCATTAAGTATTTTTATTCATCACAGTAACTAAATAGTAATTGACAAAATTGTCAATTGATATACCATTTAACTGTATACAGCGGACAGAGGAACCGGATCACCATCTCTGAAAGTCAACTGAAATTGATACAAACGAAGGATCAAAGAATTGGAACATAATTTTAGTTTTCTATTGAACAGGAAGAAACAAACATTGAATTTAAGGAAAACACTGTACGACAAATTTGTTTCCAAAATGATATACATTAAAAGTACAATCGAACCATAATTTTACTTACATTAACTACAGGAAGTTGATGCAAAAAACATCTTGGGCATTTTCTCGACATGTTTGGTACTCCGTTAATAAAGTTGTAAATTTGACGAGCCAAGAGACGGTCCTTTCCTTCAATAAGGCAACATTCATAGTATGAGTACATAGTACAAACGAATTTGGTTATACATTGATAGTTTTTGAGAACAAAATTCTTGAAACTTGCAAAATGACGTCAGTTTTGAATAATTTTTATATAATTACCTAAAAAGTACAATTTGGAAATGAAGATATTTGGCTTTACTTTCAAAATGGCGGTATGATGGCTTCTAACCAAGAAAAAAACACTAATTTTACGCAATAGTAGCGGCTGAATAATGATGTCATTCAAAGCAGTAGTAGGAAAATGGGGATTCGTCAGCAACTCTTGCGTCAACCGCATGGCGAAAGATGTGTGAACGAATGCGAATGGAAGAGAATGGAAAAGAATGCGATGAAAAGTATTAGGAAGGAGTAAATTTATGCGATCAAAACAACGAAGCTTTCGTTATGCTTCGTTGTGTCAATTGGGAAAAATCCAAATTGAAATTTTAAAAAAGGTAGTTTCTATTAAGTAATATATTTTTGTAATGGGTAAAGAACGAATTTTACAGTAATGTAAATATCGACCACCTTTTTCGATTTAATTTTTTTTCACACACATTTTTTTTTCAGTCGTACACACACACACACACTCGCATCTTTTTTTTTCTTCAAACATCGATCGATAGAACATACACATTCATTCGTTTGAACAAGAACGATAAACTGCTATCAATACATCTCATGTAAATCGATTAAAATAAAGAGTCTTACGGGAGTAAGACGAACTTTTCCGCACGGTGGTAGTTGCGTATTTTATTAAAAAAGTTCAAAATAATATTTGTTCGATTTTTCAAGCCTTTCAAGCGTCGTAAAGTTCGAGACCAAAAAATATATTCAAACCTTGGCATCGAAATATTCTTTAATTTAATAGCAGAAGTACTCGAGAAAAGATTTTTCACACTTTCATGATGAACCCATTTGTACGACATTTGAAAGTATTCTATTTTCTAACAAAACACCATGAAAAATATGTCTGACGTTAATTTTGCCATAAATATTATTTTTGAAAAACTTTTCATAACTAAAGTCACAAAAAATTTGGATTTTTGTATGGGAGCCATGTCTATATGCTACCTTAATGGCATGAAACTTTGTTCAGGTTATTTTTTTCACAAAAAAATTTTATTCGGAGGGTTTGGAGAAATTTCAACTAAAATTAAGAGTACCTCCCATACAAAATATTCGTTTTTGAGCCAAAAATTTTGTATGGGAGGTACCCCTAATTTTAATTGAAATGTCTTCAAATTTTTAGAATGTTATTAAAAAAAAATAAAGAGTCTTACGGGAGTAAGACGAACTTTTCCGCACGGTGGTAGTTGCGTATTTTATTAAGAAAGTTCAAAATAATATTTGCTCGATTCTTCAAGTCTTTCAAGCGGCGTAAAGTTCGAGACCAAAATATGTTTCAACTTTGGCAACTAAATATTCTTTAATTTAATAGCAGAAGTAGCCGAGAAAATATTTTTCACACTTTCATGATGAACCCATTTGTACGACATTTGAAAGTATTCTATTTTCTAACAAAATACTATAAAAATATGTCTGACGTTAATTTTGCCATAAAGATTATTTTTGAAACACTTTTCATAACTAAAGTCACAACAAATTTGGATTTTTGTATGGGAGCCTTGTCTGTATGCTACCTTAATGGCGTGAAACTTTGCACAGGTTTTTTTTTTCACAAATAACATTCGGAGGGTTTGCAGAAATTTCAACCAAAATCAAGAGTACCTCCCATACAAAATATTCGTTTTTGAGCCCTAATTTTAATTGAAATCTCAGAATGTTATACTTTTGTGTAAAAAATAGTCTGTGCAAAGTTTCA